TGCTATAACTAATAAATGCTAGAACAAGTTTAATATCATATACTAACTGATGAAACACCGAATAAGTCCAGGAAGGCGCAATAAGAGTGAAGAAGTCTAGCGAAAATAAATTTTAATCCGTTAATAGAAAAATTAAACGGAATACCTTGTTGACGGCGCTGCATCGCCTGTCCAATATCCAGTAACGCGAAGGCCAACGTTAGGAGGAGGTTGGGAAAGATCGGATCCGGGTTTATTTGAGGCGCCAATTTCATCCAAGTCATCATACAGTGAAGTTGCCATTGTTAAATCTTATTTTAATTCACTTCGGCTGCTTAGACTCGCTATGACTTGAGGCTAATATAAGAAGGCTTAGGAGCCAGCAGGATAAAGCCGACGAGAGATAAAATCAAGTAAACTAGACAATAAGAGAAATTAAAAGATCTCATGATAAAGAATATTGGTGCTTTTGAATTACAAGCATGTATTATAAAGCTATAAATTAAGAGAATTCAAATCGCATGGAGCAAGTTAGTTTTATTTAGAATATCGATAAAAGTGTACAATTTTAGAAATGAACAGTCTCGATAGGGCAGAGCAATTTTACTCTAATGCGAGCATGCATTGCAAAACAAAATATTAATATGCCTCAATACTTATGTATAGGGGATACAAAAACATATAAATAGAAGACGAGCAGTAAGGATATAATAACTAGTAAGAAAGAAGAGATGAAGTATAGAGGCATAACTAATAGTGGTATCAAAGAATCATCCCGCATATAAGTGATAGATATAAAATAAAATTAGCAATTAAAATAACTCTGCAAATACAGTTTGCGAAATCATTACCCATTTGGGAAAGACAGTGTATTTTACGAATTTTGAGTTAATCGGGCATGAGAGAGAATATGCAATTATCAGGGAAAAGGGTTTTAACGATGATTTGTAGGGTCAATAAGGTGAATAAAATTGTTCGGAGAAAATAATGCACGCAAAATAAATCATAAAACAGGCTGTATTATATATTCCAAGTGTAAATATCACGCAGGAACAGAAAGTCAATGGGCTTAAAAATAACAAAGAAACACTTCGAGGTATTCGATATGAAATTTTGTCCAGTTGGTTTCAGCGTTGATAGAGAGAGTTCATTAGTGGTACTAGAATGCAAAAAAATGTAGTTGACAAATAAATCCCCTGCTCATAAAAAAATATGTACTCTTCAAAAAGCTCTGTCATAATAAAATATAAAAGGCTGGACAGAAGCATGGAAAGGTTCAAGTAGGAAAATCTGATCTTTGAAAAGAGATATTGAGTCAAGATGCAGGAAAATTAAAAAATGATGAGAAAGCAATCCATGAGTGAGAATAAGAAAATAATCGACAAGTAATAATATACAAAAGCCGAGAAAAATAAATTGTTGTAAGATTGAATCATAATCTCTCAAAAATCCATAATCTCGATATATGAGTGTCCCTCATCTCATATCTAGCCTAAATCTCGTTACAGTTAAGGAAGTAAGGTATTTATAATTATTAAATTACTATCAAGATGTAGCAAATGGAAAGAGAAACTGAAGAAAATA